CACGCAAGGGATTAAAAAGGATTGAGAACAAGAGTAAAGAGGCGTGTTTTAGGAAAGGATACAGTCAATGACGGGGAACAAGATCAGGTTATCAGAAGATGTCGATTGACATGATACTCGAAAATTTGAAGATTATAGTTATCAGGGAAGCAAACAAGATGAAGAGAGTTCCACAGACGGGAAGTGCGAGAGAAGAAACTGTTACATTTATCCATTTCGACAGTGAAAGGTCGGATCGAGATGCTCGCTTAAATTTATGCAGTCTGAGAACCCGCGAAAATAGCTTGTCGGAACAGTTGCCGAAGAAATATTTGTAGAAGAGACAGAGGGAAGCCACAGCAGGTCTGTGAGAAAGCAACTGTAGACGAGATGCCAGATCAGGACCTATCGCCTTGTATATTCATCTATGAATAAAGTGTTAATTTATTTTTAAAAAAATATTATTCCAGACCATTGCTCATTAGACAGTTATTCCATAGATCAATGTCCTTAGACGAGTATTCATAGACAAATATCCTTTTACAGGTTTCCCTTAGACCAATATTCTTTACACCAATGTTCTTTAGACGAATGTTCCTAAATACATTCTGAGTATGTAAACGAGGCTGATATGCACACTCCTTTTTATATCATATACAGGTGTGTTTCTTGGGATTTTTTTATATATCCGTATTCCTTTTTAATAATTCCTAGTCTTCCTATTATTACTATTGTCCATGTTTGTGTTTATGTTCTACAATCTTGCGATATTTATTTCCATTCTTCATCGTTGAACCTCTCTCTCTCTCTCTCACAAGCGGGATTCGGCAAGTCTCCCGCTGCTCTTTCGATACTTTCTCGGAAAGTGCTCGGACAAACTACAATCCCTGGTCCCGCCAGTTCAGACATTCACGGCAATGACACGACATGCCACTCACATATTAAAGAATCACCCACGTTCCCTCCGTATTCCATTAGTAAGGAATAAGTTCTACACGAGCATCTCCTCCCCACGAACCACTGCTCTGTGAAAACTACTCCTAAGAGGATGTTCCTCTGAACACTACAATCTTGTTCAAGTCTAGGATTAACAGTTTATCTTTCCCTCCCACCCGTACAAATTGCCTCCTAACGTAACTTTCTACATTGACTAGCTCTCGGGGCTTGTACATGTTGAAACTTAGTGTTTTTTACAGTAAAATATCCTGATATTTCTAAAGTTTGTCAAAATCTTTTGCTGAGATAAATTATCAGATCTGATATCCATGAGAATGTTATTATGCTTATTATTAAACTGTTATTATTAGGATGTTTAATTATTATTAATTATTAGGATGATTAATTTTTTTCTTATTAAACCGTTTATTTATATTTTCTCAAGAATGATACCAACTTTTCTTTCACTGACTCATGTCGCTCGTAATATGTTCAACTTCCGACCGGCCATTTATTTTCATTATTTTTTTTGCTTTTATTTTTATTCTTTGTGTCCTTTATTTTGTACGTTTTCTGGCTTTTCATTCAAATGTTGATATTAGGCATGACCTTCACCCCACAACTGACACAGCCATTCTTATTTTGTTTCATCTTAAAGTTCTTCATTTTTTTTAATTTTCCATTTCCATATTTTGCTTTTTTAATTTTTCTTGCTTTCATTGGGGTTTTATATATTCATTCCTGTCAACATTTGAACCTGTGACAGACAAACAGACAGATTTGAATAAAAATTAGAAAACAGAAAATGATTCTATATGTGCTTCAGTGTCTCCGTTCGTTTCAGCAGGTTTGAGTAATGTAACGGATTTAAAAAAGAAAGGGTAGAACCCAAATTCCCAACAAATATATACTCTTGTTGTTAATAGAAGCGTTGGTTATAATAATGATATATAAAATTTCTTTTTTTTTTATAATAAAGAATACATTTTATTATTTTATTTTTGTTTTTTAAGTTTTATTTCATGTTACAAAAGATTAGAAAAGAGCGTCTCGACATTATAAACCAATAAACAATTTCTAGCAGACATTATCCAGACTTTTTTTATGTATATTACGCACCCTTTGTTCTATCTTATTATAGTTCAGATTGTTCTACTCTTAATTCCTTAGTTAGCAGGTATCTACGTTACACACTGCTAATGCCTGATAAATAAGGGCCTATTCAGATTTGATCGCATGGAAAGACAGAAAAACGTATCAGAATCGCTACTTAGCTTCAGTGAAAAGATGAAAGAAGGGATTATGTGTTTATGTGTATACATGCATATATATATATAATGTGTTTAACATCTGGTTCAGTGAAATGAAAAATGTTGTCAATTTCAACACTTTTCATTTTTAAAGCTCAAATATTCAACGATGTGGTAGGCGAATTTCTACGGATAATTTATTGTTGCAGAACTTGCCATGAGCCTATTCCGTTATCAACTTAATTTTCTAATAAATATTAATTATTAAAATAGGAATATATATATAAACTATGAACTTTTCACCAGTCTTTCTAGTGTTATAATAACAGCTAGTATAGGATATTAAATATGTTATGCTGGCTTTGTCATATAAAAGTTACTCCATTTCATATTCATGTCATTCATTAATTTAAACAATTATTATAGAAGAAATTTGTATTAAAGTTAAAAAAAAACTTTCAGTAAAAAAAAAAAATACAAAACTATAATAACATAATAAATATTACAAATTTGGCTCTGCACACTGTGGATAAACACTTTACATAGAATGAAAGATCG